ATGAAGGTCAGTGCTTCTTCCCTCACCCTCTTCCAGAGTGTTAAAATTTATATAGCATCTCTTGAGACTGGCACACAAATGAGGACATTACTGCTATTTCAACCTGCCTCCACAAGTTATCCATTCAATTTAGGATTTATTCTAAAGTTCTTTAATTTGCTTTTAAAGCCCTCATCGCTTCACAGCTACAGCCTCATATCCTCAGCTGATCCAGAGGGTTTCTGAGACTTAAACTGAAGGGAAATATGTACTTTTGTTATAACTCCTAGAACATATCCTTTTGGATGTAAGAAGTTGATTTAGTCTTGTTTTACCAGTTTTATTTTACAAGGCTTACAAAGCTACTCTTAACTTGTGTTGCTGTATGGCACTTTGGTCCTGCAGTGTTACAGCCCATCTAGGAGGGCCAGGCTGTGACATAAAAATGGTCTTCTGGTTATGCATATTTTAACCTTTTAAATACATTTACCTAAACAAAGATTAGTCAAGTTTAAAGAGGCCCAAAACTTTAAGACAAGGTTTTTGAACCACTTTAGTCCTCATTTCTGATATGAATGGTACACAAAGTGTTCAGAGGTCTAACGTCCCATAATGTCCCTGCTTAGAAGACCTCAACTCGAACAGTGTTGCCACATGAGAAATGCAGCCTCTTGTTTGAAATATATTTTGCAGTCTTATCTCTTTTTTCACTTAGATTATGAAAGGAGTTGTAATAAAAATGAACTTGTCATCTGTTGTATAATTGCTTTATATAAGTTATTGATCACTACTGTTTGTCAATCACACTTATCATGAGGATGTAATCAAGGGTAATCATGGTAGAGCCGAACATAATGTGATCATGAGGATGTAATCAAGGTAATCATGGTGGAGGTGTGCAGCTTTGCACGCACATCAGGGAATGTATAAGGAGCAGAGCAGGGCTCAGGGGGGTTAGAGCTGCTTGAAGGATTCTACCTGACGAGGTTCATGGATTACATGTGTTCAGTTCTTCACCTATCATGGATTACGTTTTCTAACTGGGGTGTTCAGCTCTCCACCCATAAGCAACGGTAAGAGAAATGTTTCGTTCATGATTGATAACTTGTATGAATGCCGGTTGAATAAAGCCTTGTTGTTCATCTGATATTCTTGTTGTGTTTCATTGTTTCTGGCGTCGACTTGACAACGATCCTGATTAAATAAATATAAAGTGTAAAAAGAGACTTTGAGTCTTTTAAGGTAATTAAAATAAAATAAAACATTTTATTTTAGAACAGGAGTTTACATACCAGGGGTCTCATTTATAAAACATTGTGTAGAATCCTTTACCAAAACTGTGCTTAAGCTCAGCAAAAAAATGTAGTTACGTCAAGTAGGTTTGTGGCCTATAAAACATGGAGTACGCACAGCTGCACACAATCTCCGCTTTATAAATCACAAACTACCTAGAAATGTGCTCAGCTGTTTCTAAATCACATCCCACCCTCAACACGCCCACTTTCTGCCATAAGGTCAATGTAAAGTGCCTTGTGGATCGCATGCATATACATAGGCCGGCTTGTTGCAGCGCTCCACCATTAACATTGGAGACCGCAGACCAAGGAAGCGCATTTTCGCCGAAGCAGAAGTTGAGGTACTTGTAGGTGAGGTGGAAAAATGAAAGGAAGTGCTTTTGCAAACAAATAAGAGAAAATCCATGGAATGGCACAGCACTGCTGAAGATGTCAATGCTGTGAGTTCTTCAGAGAGATGTGTGTCAGATACTAAGTGTTCCGATTTGAAGGTGGAGGCAAAAAAAAAGGATGTTTTGCCACCACCAGAGTGTGTCTGCCACTAGTAGAGGCCCTGGAACCTCTGATCCCCACCACTCGCCGTAAGGATCTCAGCAGTACTCAGACCTGCAAGCGTGCAAAGCACCGTGCCGGAGAATGAGGGAGACACTGACCATGCAGAGGAGACTGCTAACATTTAAGCTTTTTATTAATGATGTGTCCATCATTAAAATATAAAACAAAACCAAATCTCACTGGTTCTCCCTAGTGACTCTGAACGATGCATCCAATGAGGCCTCCCAGGCAGCGACCAAAGATGTGGCTGCAGGGTCGGCCTGTCTTACCATTGCACCTGGGGCGCATGGTGCACCTGGAAGTGGCCTGGTGCTAACAGACGCTGTCCTGCAGGCCCAGAGGACAGGATTAGTGGGGTGAACGGAGTGTGAGAAGAACTGCACAAAATAGGTGATGCCCCGACTGAAATTTCAGGCACACTTAAAGAATTGGCAAGAAAATAAAAGATGAAAATCATGCCTTCTGTGTTGGTCCTATAAATGATTCGTGGCAAGGTGGAGAAATGAGGGCCCGGGCAGGATCCAATCCCAACACTCCCACGTGAGAGTCACGTGTGCTAACTAGTCAGCCAAAGGGACATCCCCTTGGCCAAGTAGCCAGGGCGCATGATCAATCGGGTCACAGTGACAGGACGCTCACTGTCACAGATGCATGACATTCTGTCTCATTCCGTATTCTGTGCTTCAGGCTGTGTGTGTTTTTGGAATGTTGGTCCACTCCTCTTCAACAGCTGTGCAAAGCTGCTGAATATTGGCAGGAACTGGAACACAGTCATGTATGCCTATCCAGGGCATTTTCAACTGTAGTCCTTTGACAAGATGTTATACTAAGCACATGACTAAAAAGTAGAAAACACATTAAATGAGCACATTAAATAACAATATACAATAATGCATGCCATTGCACTTATTCCATTAAAACATAAAAACACAGTCATATAACCATACAACTCATTAAGGAATCAAAAGTAACCATGTATTCATCAATTTCTCATATTTTCACCAAGGGTTAAAAAAATAAAGTCTAAGAATAAACGGACAATGATTATTATGAGAGGTGTTCATTTTTTGTGCTTAAAAGCCAGTTCTTGAGTGTGAATGTATGATATGAAGTAGAGTGTCCAATGTCCACTGGTAATTGATTCCATAGTTTAGATGCTCTCAAAGAAAAGCACTGCTGACCTAAGGAACTATACCTATGAGGGACAGCACAGTGCCCTCTTAATGCAGACCTTGTGGTTCTGCTAGCTTCTGCTGTATATAAGTGTTAAGTGGTGGGGGAGCCTTCCCATTGATAATCTTAAAATTTAGTGATGCATGCCTAACTTAAGACATTTTGCCAACCATGTGGGTTATATTTAGTGACATTACAGTGATAAGAGCTTGGATTTTTTTTGTCCAAGACTAAGTGCCTGTTTATGAAGTGATAAGATAGGCCTTAATGTTGTACTACACACCTGAGACCAGCTTGTTACACAATATGTTGGGTTAGGGAAAATCAGTGTTCATGTATAACTTTGCTATAGGTGTTGTTAAACAGTCTCAGACAATTCTAGAGGTGAACATGCTGGATGTGAAGGTCCTGGGCTGGTGTGGTCGGCAGTTGGGAGGCCGGTTGGATGTACTGCCCAAATCTTGGAAACTCCTTTGGAGATTACTTATGGTAGAGAAATTAACATTCATTTCATGGGCAACAGCTCTGGTACATTCCTGCAGTCAGCTTGCAAATTGTACGCACCCTCAAAAGGTTTCAACATCTGTGGCATTTTGCTGTTTGATCAAACTGCACATGCCAGAGTGGCCTTTTATTGTGAGCAGTCTAAGGCCTAGTCCACACGTAGCCGGATTTTTTAAAAACGAATATCCGCCCCTCCAAAAACTTGCATCCACACCACCGCGTTTTAAAAACAAACTCTGTCCACACATACCCAGATAATACGTTGTTAAGGACATGCCTGACCTGTAGGCGGCAGTACTTCCCCCGTTCTTAACCTCGTCCTTCGTCTGTGGTCTTCCGCAAGGAGCAGAAATTCTGCTTGCAAAAACAAACAAGCAAAAAGCGCTTGGACAATTGATAAGGCGAGCGCAGCTCTGAGGGCATCCATGCTGTCGGCTAGTGTAAACACAGGTCACCCACGTGATGTCAGCATTTTTTTTGTCGCGGAAAGTGACGTTGCGGACCTTAAAATCCCGGTTTTGTCTGTCCACACGCAGACACCCAAAACGGAGAAAACGCAGATCTCCACTTTGGCCGGAGTTTTTAAAAAGATCCGTTTTCGTGTGAAAAAACTCCGTTTTCGTGTGGATGACAGGCCAAAACGTAGAAAAATATCTACGTTTTGGCAGATCCCCGGCTACGTGTGGACAGGGCCTAAGGCACACTTGTTCATTACTCCTGATGTCTAATCAGCCGCTAGATATGACACACCTGTGAGGTGGGATGGATTCTCTTGGTACAGAAAAAGTACTCCCCAACACACATGTAGACAGATGTCAGAATGGGCGAGTCATGGGTAATTTGTGAATGTAGAAATAAAATTTGATTTTAGTTCAGCTCATGAAAAATGAGCAAAAACAAGTGTGGCATTTATATTTTGTTCATAAGTAGTGAACTGAGTTTTTAGGCAAGTTAACTTTAATCAACTAATCAGTTTCCTCAAATTTTGAGTTCAGTGAACTTATGAGTTTACAGTGCAGAGTTAAAAAATAAAATCATCCTCAAGTCAAAGGACAGTTAAATGCAGCAGTGATTTTTTTAAACATGAAAACTGGTCACCCAACTGACTACCTTACATTAACTGGATCTGACAATGAATTAAGAGTCAAGTTTTCCCCACTTGCTTGAACACCTGGGAGGAAAAACGATTGTATTCAAAACTCCTAGTGATGACAATACACTCATCATGTGACCCAAAAAATATATATAAAAAATAATTTTTTAAACATACATTTTTATTGGCAATAGTCATTCATGGGCAAGTCTTCAGGTGCAGAAAACCACATTTCAATATTGCATGCAAGACTTGTCATTGCCCCTCACCTAGTTAAACATGTGGCTTTTATTTACAGAGAGAGGAAAAAACAACAACATTAAAAAATAGTCATGACACATTTCAAATACCAATGGACTCTTTAGTGTTTTACATTTATCCTCTTATTTAAAAAGGTTATATTTTTATTAATTTAAAAATCTGACATCCCAATCCCATCTTTTGGTCAAGTACAACTTGGCCATATACAAGACACTTTTTTATTCAATCTTTGAAAAAACAGTCAGTAATGAGCCAGCCAACACTACACATGACGCCAGAAAGAAGATGGAGCAGTTTACAATGCCCTATAAAAACAAATTGTGACAGTTTGATAAAATGCTTATCATTTTAAGAAATATCCCTAGTTTCCTAAATCTACACATTAAAACAAATTGTCAGAGCTGCAAAACAAATGAAAAATAAACGTTTTCATCCTCACCTTAATCTCTCTGAACACCAAGGATCCCCAAAGTGCTGCAACCAGACCATAGCCCTACAAATAAACAGATCACACCTCAGTTAATTTACTTAAAATCTGCTGTTTCCTGTGCAAATGGGAGCTTTAATCTGACAATATGAATCTTGACATGAAAACATGATCCCCATTTGATCCAAGAAATCAAAAGTTTAATTGTTTCAAGAGATCATGTAGATCTAAAACACAAAGATAGACCAGTGAACTACATCCTAATAAAGAGACTGGATGAGCACATCCAAGTTACCGTTAAAAGACATGTCTCTAGCATCTGTCAACATGTAGCACTTACTGCAGTGACAATGGGAAAAGTAATGACCGAGGTGAGGTAGTTATTGGCCAGAAACCAGCTGTATGTGCCGACTGTCCACATCAATCCGGACAAAAATCCTGAAGCACAAAAGAAAAATTATATTTGCCGTTGATCACAGCAAAAAAGTCTACGCAATTCTACAAGTTTAAATGAAGGTATCTGGATGAAAATAAAAACCTCTCTTTGCATGACATTATTCTTAGACAAAGAAATGCATATTTTATATGATGTATACACAAAACTATTAGCATCATGAGCTATGAATTGTAAATCTAAACTCAGAGGTCTCATTCCATTCCCAGTTTTGACTTTGCATTAAACATGACTGCATCTTCAGCTGAGCAAGAGGAAGCTGCATGACATTTCCACTACAACAGACAATTCTTCCCCTTGCTAGTCGGGGTCAAACCAGGGCCATTTTTAAGGATTTAACTGGCCTTTTGGTGCACGTTTCCATGGTTCACAGAAATAAATGACGATAAAATAGAAAATTCTGTTCTTGCTGAACATTTAGGTTGACACGTTGTTGAGCTCTGATATCAGATATTTCTAATCTGATTCCTTTAAAATGAGATGGAAGTTTTTTCCAGAAATGAGTCAGATCCCATTTATGAAAAATTCTGTTTACAAATAATTCTTACTTTAAAACTAGAAATGCACTTTAGGTTTGAGAATTGTGCTTGATAGATGAGCTTTTACCTGGGAGGATGACTCTTGAGTAAACCCTTGGTTTGCTTTTCATGACAGCACAGTAGATGGTAAAGTACACAGTACTTGCAACGAAGACTCCCGAGGTCTGTGCAGGGACATAGTCAACATCTGCACAAAAAGAGGACAACAAAGAAAATGAGAATACAACCTTGACAATGTATGCAACAATATTTTCTTTAAAGAGAGGTTTTTGCCAACTGTAGGAACCATCCTGATGATAGCCAAGACAACAATTATAATTTCATTTAGGATTAATAATGGCACGCTGAAGGTTTAAAATGAAGCCTATTATCGTGCAATGAAACCATACCGTAGTCACTAGCTCCATAGAAAGCACTATCAGGGCACATTGAATGGTTCTTTATGTAGAGAATAGGGACAAATGAGCATCCGTACAGCAAGCCGGACACAACCGCAAGCAGGCAACCACTGATGAAAAGGATACAAAGCAAAGTGAAGAATAAAAAGATGCATGCTAACCCCCTTTGAGGCCTTGTAATAATGTGTATGGTAATTTCAGCATTTTTCCTCAAGCTGATAGACAGCATAAAAACGCAACTAGTCACTTTTACAAGTGAAAACTAAATTTTCATTGATGGTTTATGAGCACCTGAAAGTCATACATGAAGGTAAAACGTGGTCATTTACATTTAAATATTGTAAATTTTACTAGTGTGTTACATAGCTGAAACAGTTTCACAATAAACCAAAAGCATCAGTTTGTCTACTGATAAAGAAAAAAAAAGGTTCAAATAATGACCCACTATCACAGTTTGATAGGAAACCCCATCTAAGAGCAACTGCACTACGTCAAAATATAAATGTTACCATTATGGTGATTAAAATAAATAAGGATTCGTAACCAATTTGAGAATCACTCACATGATTCTCCTCTGCTTTGGTCCAACAGCATCTATCCAGTATGCAGCAGAAGGTCTGCTGTAACTGCCTGAAATGGTTCTCTGCATGAAAAAGATGGCCGTTATCACTTGTTTTCCAACACATTTGCAGTGGTCTCCAGAATAAATGAATGCTTTGCAAGTCAATCTGCGAATACAGCTCTGGCGCTCTTGTAAACCAGAGGAGAAGTGAGCTTCATGGATGGAAGGATTTGAACTCCTGATATTCAGTCGTCTCACAGTTACCACCCTGTTTACAACATTGATGTTTTATTTCCACAAATGTCAAACCTGAACGAGTTCTGCCATGCTACCAGTTCTAATTCATTATTCCAAACTTCAGCTCAGACTCAGTGGGGGAAAAAATAAATAAAATTTGCTGTTATGTTTAAGCATGTCAGTTATAGCAAAATTTTTATTGGATTGGAAAGTTTAAAAACTGGACCTACAGTTGATTATTCTGAAGCTTAAATAAATCATAACAGCAGTGGATGAATTATTTGCTTAAATATCCCACAACTTTCCCTTTTGATGATGTTTGGTGCCGTGGACCAGCATCTTCAAAAGGACTTTGGGTTACTCATCATTTGACAAAATAAAACCAGGACATTTTTAAAAAACTAGAACATTTCGCTCAAATCAAAATGTGTTTGCATTTGCATTTCAAACTGACAGCATACTCACTCTTTCAATAAGCAAAGGAACAGTTTCTGGCTCTAGATGTAGTTTCACATCACTTTTTACAAAGACGAAGATCATGCCACTGAAAACCAATCATAACTTAAACTCAAACTGAAGGTCAAAATGTACAATTCAAAAACTTTGTATTTTGATAAACAGAATTAAATTAATATGGCAATCTACCTGACCAGACACAATGCAGCTCCACAGTAATTCAGCACTGGCTTGGAAACATCCTGAGGGTCAATCCCGAACCACCCAAACCTGTTTAGGGACGATCACATTTGGTTCAAACATGAAGTCCAAGGAGACATCTACAAAAGGAAACATCCACTCAGACACAAGACTTCACTCACCTTGAGCTGGCCCAGCCCATCAACAAACTGGAAGATCCCCAAATTAAAATTCCAAGACCAAGGCCGATCGCTTTAACTATGGTAACAACAGTTACACTTCCTGGGGATGCAAAGGGTGCAGCAAACTCGGGTTAAAAGTGCATTTTCACCATCCTTTGAGTCGATTGTCTACATCTTCAAGTTACAGCTTAATGATGATGTCTCGCGAATATAAATCATCCTTGCATTCTGATTTTTCTGGGATGTGATGGGGTTAAAGTTACAGTCTCATTAGTCATTATCACACGCTGGTGAAATTACATGTCTGCACTTGACCCATCCCTGTGGGGAGCGGTGAGCAGCAGCAGTGGCTGTGCTCAGTAACTATTACCCCGGGTTTCCACCGGAGCCGTCAGCAGCACGTTACAGCAGCAGCACGTCTTGCTCGCGTAAGCTGCTGCTTGGCCCTTCCCACGAGACGCGAAGCAGCAGGGGAGCAGCTGTCACCGACAGAGCACGAAGTCACACGAGTGCCTTCGTCAGTAAACACAACAACAAGCAGGAGAAAATTACAACATGGTTTGTGTTTTATGTTCTGTCCGTTTTATAATCGCCAATACGGACCTGAAAAACAAAGGAGACCGCTAGCTAGGTGATAACTTCTCACGGGGACGCACAGTTAGTAACCTTTTTTAAAAGTAAAGCAACCGGAAGGCAGCACGTTCTTTATTCTGAAAATCTCGGTAGCTTCTCTCCATTTCCGCGTCCGATTTCCTGTCTTTCCTTCCCAAAAATGTCGAACTTGACCCGTTTCAGAGGCGTCGCACTTAGAAAATAGAACCGGCGCGTAAAGGCCGCGACATGCTGCTCCTGAGACACGGCCGACTCGCGCTGCTGACGGCTCCTGTGGAAAAGGTTCTGTTGACCACAGCGGTTCCTATCAGCAGCTATGACGTGCTGCTGCAGTAACGTGCTGCTGACGGCTCCCGTGGAAAGCCGGGGTTAGCCGACTGTCAAGCAGGGAGACATTGGGTCCCATTTTTAAAGTCTTTGGCATGACCCGACTGGGATTTGACCTCTAATATCCCAGTGCCATGGCAGACACTACCAGTGGGCCACTGAGAACATCAGTATAGTTCAGAAGGAATAAAACTCAGTTTATTGTGTATTGGCTGCTAAAAATATATCCTTGTTAAGTGGAATTTTTTCAGAACTTACTAAAATGGCAAATATTTAAATTAGACAACCATAATTTGTGTATAAACATGCCTTGGTTATTATTCACTCAGCATCCAGGGAAGTTACTCCATGGTTAAGACATTTCTGATTATTCTATCACTTTTTAAAGTTGGTAGGTCAGGTTGTAGAAACTTAGAAAATGCCTTTTCTGACACAGTTCACATATAGAACAATATATAATGATTAATGCACTTTGAAGTAATTTTCAGCAAAACTTATATCTGACTATAGCAAAGGGAGTATAGATTTGACATTTAAAGCCCATCTGCTGCACCCAACTGCAGATAAGAGATTACTGCTTGAAGCTGGATTTATTAAAAATGATACCTGTGGCCCAGATGGCACCTCCGAGCATCGCAAGAGGATGGAATTTGGGTGACTGGAAAAAAATGTCTCCGAGCATTGCTACAACCCATATGGAAGCACAGCTTACCCAATTGTAGAACATACCTGTAAACAAAATATTTTAACATTTTATCAATTTTGACCTTCAATTACTTAATTGGATATATGTTTGAAGTTTAAAATCAGAATGCATACCATCTCCTGTTTCTATTTTTTTGACTGGAACAAAGGTGCTCCCATACAGTAGCACAGCAGCAATATTGGCAGTCAAGCCATAGGCAAAAAAAGTAACATTGGTGGAGTTACTGAAGAAATTCAACGAATCCAGTTTGCAAATTTCATCTTTGCCACAGCCCATGGAATCTGAACACATCAATGATAAAAAAATACATTTAATAAACACCTGATTAACTCAGCTTCTCACAGACCAGTTAATAGCCTAATTAACCTACCTTCAGTGTTCTGACTGCTCACCATCAGTAAAGATGCAACAAATAAAATTAGAGAACATTTCAACCAAGCCATCATAAAAAGGTAGGTCTGCGTTTCTTCTGTCAAAACTAGATGACGTTAAAACTACCAGAGCCCAACTGTCTGCAGACGGATGAGCAACCAGCTGCTGCCAATTATCCAATCACTGAAGTTGACGCTTTTAAGCCACTGAGGACGCACAGCACGCTATTTTTTTTAACTCGATTACACATCACGTTTCTTTTATAATACAAAAATGAAACAATATTTATTATATTAGCATTAACAATGAAATAAATCATAATGCAATTATTATTATTATTATTATTATTATTATTATTATTATTATTATTATTATTAAGCACATGAGCCCACACAACAGTTGCATATCTATGTATTTAGTCAGATCAGATTAGTAAATCCTTGTTTGAGCTGTGGCGTCCTGGCTGCACTTTTTTCACAGAAGTTTTTTTCCTCGTTTTCTTTTCCGCTCTATTCCTTTTGGCACACGGGTCGTGTCGTTAATAACACTGAGCGCATATCTAGCTCTCAGCCAGCAGAGAACATAGACCACCAGATGTCGCCTGGATCACCAAACAGATACAAAGATACAAAACAATCCAATAGTCTAATTATGTCACACAAAACCTTACTGCGTGAGTGACCTTTCAGTACTTAATCAGATAATCTGCTACATCTGATAAAAAAAACTATTTATTCTTTAGATTCGGGTTTGAGTTAGATGGTTTTTCTGTCCTTTTTTGCGCAGCTGCATCCTTGTGCTTTTGGACACAAAGCCTTTATTCTAACGACGAGCTCCGGAAACTGTGCGCTCCTCCCCACTTTGGGTTTAGTGAAAATAATGAAACAAAACTCAACTGCAGCTATGCCAAATTGAAATGGGGAACGCTCGTGCGCACTGGTTGTTTTTCTCTTTTCTGAAACTTGCCAGCAACTTTCGGAGGTGCTCTCTTTTCAAACGCAGTTTGTTCATCACGGCTGTGTGTGCGGTCTATTTGTTTTTTGTGATTCCACAAGTCGGAACCTCTCTGCGACACCAGCGCAGGACTGATGAGGACGAGACGCGGCACACCCGTGGTTTGGACATCAGCGGCGCACTACCACACGCTACTGGACTGCAGACTGGCGCGAGTCTGGTGCAGCCGACACGAACCAACGTGGTGTACATATCTCTCAAATCTAAACGTTTAAAACCAGCAAAAATACGGTGTACAATCCGACCAAAACGGAGAAAAAAACGGGGGCGAAAGACACCTGATGCGTCCGTTACGCACAGCAAACTTGGCACAGTGGGACGTTACACGGGCCACACTGGGAACTTTACAGCTGAAACGTCCTGGAATCGAACCAGTCATTTGAATTATGAACTGCGTAATATAATAAACAAAGGCTATGCTGGAGGATCAGCCTCTCAGGTTAGTTCTATTAGAATTTACAGTCAAACTGCTCCTCCGTGGCTCAGCTCTCAGGACCTGGAAACCATGCGCTTTCTTGCGGATTCCAAAATTTTGCGCTTTAAAGAAATCTATCGTGAAGGCGCCTCATCCCTTCTGATGTTTGAAGGTGAGGTCAGGACACATCCAACCAATCAGAAGCTCTTGGAAAGAAATAATGCATATGGAAGACGGTGCGGGATTATCCACAGCCCCACGGACAACACTGAGGTGTTTGCTTTCCATTTGGACAGGGTGCTTGGTTTGAACAGAACCCTGCCAGCTGTGAGCAGGAAGTTCAGCTTTTTTCATGGTGGGTCAATGAGTTCAAGGTTCATTACCTTTTCTTTCAACTATGTGTAGGACTGCCATAATCATTTTTGGGTTCAATTATTTCCAAACCTTTGTCTTAGGAATACATGTGTGACTTTTGTGCACATGATTAAAATGCAAACATGCATCTTTTTGCTTATCAGTCATGGCAAACTGCAGTGCAATGTTTTCAATACACAAAAAATAGGCAATGCATTTTGCATATGGTAGGATGAACAATGATGCAAACCCTGTCTTTTTTAATCGCTAAAGAGATTTGGAGCCAATGTGTCTCCAAATCTCTTTTCTCCATTTCCTCTGTAAATTGCACTTATTCCACCTGTGACTGATGTCTGCATCTGTGTTCACATTTTATGAAAATGAAAAATTTACACACATAGCAAAGAAAACAGAGAAAGACATATTACTTCTGCCTTGTGGCACGGGGTTAAGAAATCAATGATTGTCTCTGCTCTGTTGTTTCCCTTCCTGTAATGTTGATGTTTTTACTTTTTTGCTATGAATCACATAAGAAGAAAATGACTCCATTGCACCAAGAGCTCAAACCATAGAAAGAGGATTGTGTTAACACATACGTCTTATCTCTGAGAACAGATTTTCTTTCGCAACCAGACTCGAATAATGATATGTGGCAGCTGTTAAATTCTGACTACGTTATTATTTATTCCCTCTTTAGATGGTCAGTTCTTCACTGTGGTGTCATGGGATGCATCACTGTACCCAGAAGACCTTGCTGCAGGCCCGGTCACTGTGAGGCTCACATGGAGGGAGTACCAGAACTCTCTAGTGCAGAGATGCTGGCACAAAAACACAAGGCCCAAACCTGACTCTGGCTGCTCCACGATTCATCACTACGAATGGAGCAAACTGGCTCTGTTTGACTTCCTGCTGCAGGTAACAGAAGCAGTTTGATAAAAAATAGCCCTTTGTGATCAAGAAATCCAAGTCATGTGATAAATTCTACCTGAAAGCATGAAAAATCATCTGTAGTTTCTCAGCTGGTGTGTTTGGTTTTGTTCCAGTGAAAGCTTCTTTCCAAGGATGCAGGGGCGTGTCCAGGGAGTGGCCTGGGGTAGCACATGCCACCCTTAGAATCTGATTGGCCACCCCAGGTGCCACCCCACTGAGTTCCAGTTTAAATTGACTTTACATTGTCGACAAAAGGCTTGGGTTGTAAACTCCAAAACAGTGCGTGGGTGCGTGCACCTTTCACCTTGTTTTCTAGCCCAGGCATGTTGTATTAATATTATTTAATATTTTTTCATATTCACATACATATTATTTAGAGTCCCACTCAACTGCAGTTGTTGGCAGTATTGAACAAGAAGTGACTTGCTAACCACCACAAAACTGAAAGATGAAGAGGGGGAAAAAATGGTGATTGTGCAATGTGAAACTCAAAAATTCACTAGAAAGTAAATAAATAAATAAACAATTTGTGTAAATAAATAAATAAGCATAACCATTGGTGCCACCCATGAATAAACAAGTAAGTAAGTAAGTAAGTAAAAGTTTATTTATATAGCGCCTTTCACAGATATAAACCACAAAGCGCTGTAAGTGCCCCACATGGGCCACCCCATTTTAAAAGTCCTGGACACGGCTCTGCAAGGATGTTTGATGAATGAGTTTTCTTCTCTGAGCAAAGCACACCGTTCCAACTGTTGCTATCACTCGCAAATTATAAAGTTGTACTCCTGAAAGTTGTTCCTTCTCTTGACTAAAAATAACGTCTAGTTTTCTGTGGAGGAGGTCTGTGGGTCACATGTTGGCAGTGAGGTGTCAATCTCTCATGCATCTTTAATGTAAAGTATTTTTTAAATGTTATGATTGCATTTATTTGTTTTTCCTTGACTGTCCGTTCATTCATTATCATGAGTGCTAAACATGTTTTTAATATATAAATATAACAGCACATATTCTCCAACAACTGTTATTACAATCATTCTATTTAAAAATACTTCACTGAGACATCATTTGGCCAAGCTGATATATTTCTTGTGAGACCTCTATGACGCACTGAGGTCAATTTCTTTATTCTATCTTTTTATTCCATGAACGGACACACAATAGGAATCTTCAAATATGAGCCTGGTAATATTTTATAAATGTTCATATCAAAACAATTAGCCAAAAATATTGTTTTCTATTAATTTGTCAAACAAAACATCTTTGATTTTAGATCCTTTATAGAATCCATATTTAAACCCTTGTTGCATTGCTTTGAAAATGTAGCTTCAAAGCTTTCAAAGTGTTGAGTAATTTAATGTAGCTGTTAAACCGCTACAGTTAGTTAAGAATGATTGGAGGCATGTGTTGGAAAGACTTGGAGGTGAGGATGGATGTGTTGTCACACTATATCCACTTCTTTTATAGGTGATTGATTAAACTTTGATGTCTTCTAACTTTACTTTTTCATTTTCTGTGAGAATTATCCTTTTTGAAACAAAGCACTTACATGGAAAAAAACATACTGACTGACTCGCTGTTTATTTCTCAGTAGAGTCACGTTTAGCTGGTGTCTATCCCCATCAGGCAGACACATCACCAGTTCAACAAAAGGTCACACAGAGATAGACAACTAGTCACACAATCACTCACACCTAGAGCAAGGGTGTCCAAAACCTTTCAAGATGAGGGCCCGAATCCTCTAGTTAAGATTTTTTTAATTCACTAAGTTATTTCACTTATTTTTAAAATCTGTATGCCTCAAAATAGGTCAAAAATATTCAAATTTGTCAAAAGCTGAAGTGTTGACCAATCAGTAGTATATAGGAGAGACAAAATATATCATTCTAGAAATACAAGTGGGGGCTGCAAAAATAATCACTGGATGGCCGCAGATTGCTCTGTCTTCACTTTGGACATGCCTGCTTTAGTCTCCAGGTAACTTGACATTCGTGTTTTCAGTCTGTAGGGGAAAACTGGAGTCATCAGAGGAAATCTAGACAGACACCAGGAACTCTGCACAGATAGGCCACTGCTGGAACTCAAACCTGCAACCTTTTTGCTATGAGGCCACTGTGCCACCATGCAGCTCACAGGCAATTTCAATTTTACAAATTCAAAGTCCAAATGGGTTTAACACTGAAGTACATTCTGTATTTACCAAGTTGAAATCAAATGTAAAAATGATATATGGTGGAGTAATAGTAGACATTTGTTGTGCTTCACAAGCATGTTCTGTGTCCGATCTCCTTTACCTTAATAAGTCCAGTCGTTTCCTCAGGGCCAGTTCTAAAACCAAACGTTTATGTTGAACCAAGCAGACGATTGAAGTCAGATTTTAATGATAGTGGCATTGACACATATAAATACCTGGTTTAGGGATTATTGGTTTGGTATTAAGAATGAATAATTTTTGTTCAAACTTAAAGGTGCAATATGTAAGAGTGAATTAAGAATGACATCCTGTTGTAATTTTCCAATTAAAAAGTTACTTTCTCACTCCCATTCTCTGAGTTTCATGGCTGTTGCCAGTTTTGGATCAGCGCCTGAAGATTCTAGATGACAAGTGAAGAAAAGCCACACACAGTAAATTGATAATAATAATAATAATAATAATAATAATAATAATAATAATAATAATAATAATAATACATTTGAATTGAGGTGCCTTTCTAGGATGCAAGGTGTCACTCCTGTCCTGTCTCTCCACTCTGTTCAGTCCTGTGTCTCCTGATTGCTCCCACCTGCCTCTCGTTTTCCAATCACCCAAGCTCCCAGCTCCTCATGTATTAAACCGTCTCAGTTCCGTGTGTCTTGTCGGTTCATTGTTTCATTGTCCTGCGTGTCTCATTAAATCCTTATTGAATGTTCTCGTCTGCCTGCCTGCCTGACTTCTTCACCCGCATTTGGATCCTCACCTCTGCTCCGCTCCACTCACCGGCACTTTCATGACACATGGTCACCTTACAGAGATTAAAAATAGAAATAAAAACGTATAAAGAGCAAATTGCTGGTTAAATTTTGTTTTTAATTTAATAGAAAATAGTCCAAAAACTACTATTTGAAATGCTTATTTTTTAGTATTTGGTTTTACAATGCATAACAGCCTCTTATTAAAAGTAATTAAAAAGTGACCTTTTTCAGCAAAGTTTTCCAAAGGTTTCCAAATAAGAGAATGAATGGCACCATCATCTGTTCCTGGTGAGTTTTGTGCAGCTGGAAACATGGTCGTTTGAGGTGCACACTTGTGACCGGAGGTACAAATGGAACCGGCTCAGAACCACCAGCCCCGACATCCAGAAAAGGATATGGAGCATTTAAAAATCCCTAGCAGGCCAGGGAAGCTGGGTTTTGTTGGAACCAGCTCAGAATCAGCATCCCTGACCTTCAAAAGAGGATGCAGAGCTTTTTAGACTAAATCTTTCAATGCTCTACATTGTCAAGCTCCTCCCTATATTACTGAACTGTTAAAGCCTTATGCTCCAACCCGAGCCCTCAGTTCCACCCACCAGAACCTTCTAGAAGTTCCAAAGACCACATGTAAAAGTCGAGATGATCGGTCCTTCCAGACTATTACACCCCAACTTTGGAATGATCTTCCTTTATCATTGCACAGCATTGACATACTGGACACTTTTAAAGACAGCTAAAGACCCTTTCATGTAAAACTGCTTTTACCTAAACCTTTTATTTACTTTTCTTTTACTGAAATTTGTAATCATGTTTTATTTATTTCTGATGTTAATCTATTTCTGTTTTGAGATCATTATGTTTTATTTTGTTTTGATCTACAGTATGTGAAGCACTTTGTGATTCTATGTCTGTGATAGATGCTGTAACGATGGGTAGTTTACATCTTACTTATGAACCATAAAATGTTAGATTCCATAGAAATATGAAATATCAATCTGATGGATCTTTGACTATTTTAACCAGAAGATCGGAACTTTTTATTGCAGGGATTAAGCGACACTTCGTATTAACTCCAAGGAAAGAGAGAGTCAGGTTTAAAATAGTTAAGAAATGTATTTCTTCACAATTTAAACAAGACTAACTTTAACACTCTGTGTACTGATGGACTAAGGTGGAGTGAGATGTGAGAAGAATGATGGTGTGTGTGTGTGGGATGTTATTATCAGTACCAGCGGATCCGGAGAAGCAGTTAGTTCTGAGTGGGAGTGAATGTTTCGCTCTAAACTTTATTAGGAGATTTATAACACACATGAAACGCCATCTGTCAGTCTACATACCCAGGGGAAGCCTCCGATTAGATCCAGAATGTCGAGGTCCTCTTGGACCCTCCTTGGAACCGAAGCCGGTAGAAAAGCAGCGATGCCAACCAAACTAGTCTGGGACTGCTTCCAGGTCACGACAAGTTATCACTGGCGTCTCCGAGACCCTGAAGGGGTCGTGAGGTTCAGCTTTTATTCTGAAGGAATCGTTGCGGTCTGGTGTAACTTGCAACAGATTTTATCCAGCTTGTCGAGGTTCTTGTTGGCTAAAGAGGAAGTCCGGATGGCCTGTCCGAGACTTCTTTAGAATGCTTTGAACTAAAGAAAAGGTGGCGTGGGATATGTTTTATAATTGCCATATTTTGGTTTGCTGGCGAATCAGAATTTGACATGCCAAAAGAGGGCTTATACAAACACCACAGAAAACCACGCCTCGCGCCAGAAATTAAGGTTCTGAATGGATCAGACAAAAGGAAATGTGTCGTGTGACTTTAGCATTACATGTCATCAGTGTCTAGTGCAGCTGTCCAAGATTATAATTACTTGTAAAATACTACTGATCACAGGATTATAATATCAAGTAATAACATTGTCATTTCACAGATTGATTGAACATTGGGCTCACGTTGTTATTGGTAATAACAAAGTTGTTGGTTATGTGTTCATCAAAAGAGTTCTTCCTCTTCGTCTTGAGCTGTAACAGAGGTGAAGCAGTTCAGATGAGCAGAGTGCATGAAAGACCTTGGCCACTATCTCATGTAGATTAGCCTGTCAGAGACTGTATGTCTCTGCTCGAGTAGACACAGCAGATCATGACCTTTAGGTCAAAAACAGGACATTCATGATGCTACAGGTGCTATATAAATAAAATTGACTTATTTACTTACTTTTAAAAACTCTTAGTGGGCCAGTGAAGCTGGTTTCTGGGTCGGACCCAGGTCCGCGCTGCCTGTCCTGAATAGAATGACAGGCTTGTCTCCCTCTCACTAAAGCGCTAAACTACGCTACGTGAGCAGATATTAACGAGTATGAAACAGCTGACAAATGCACATTATAGTTTATTATTGTCAAGAATCAATATTAGAATAAATGTCCCATAATATTTTAATTGTCTGACACATAACAGTAGTCTGTACAATATGTTAGCACACAAGTTTAAGCTAGCTAGCTAGCTAGCATCATTCACTCACTGACACACCTGCTTGCGCCACAGAGCCTACTGACACCAAAACTTAATCTCTCTCCTTTGGTCATCATTTCTCCCTTTGGCTTGTCTCTGATCTCTGGAGCGTGCAGCAGGTTCAACTGCTGGTTTTTAAATTATTATTTCTGATTATAATTGGTCAATCTGACTTTGTCAGGCAGACAGGACATGAAAATATTATCCAACTTCTATTTCCTACATTAACTTCTGATTGAAATGCCTAACAGATCTGACACACTGTCACTTAACATTCATGGACTCACCCATTTTGATTCAGGACAGGGAAGGCTATTGTTGGTTTACCATCCAGGAAACAGCAGAAAATGTCTCCGCTAGTAGAAGCTAACCATTAGCATTAGCAACTCCACAACACAGCAGAATTCCTTCAGGCTTGTGTTGTTTGTGGAATATAAAACATCAATGTGAAAGCAAACCGAGTCAGTGGTAGAGTTGCATTGCTGTTTGCCAATCAGAGTTGAAATGACCAACTATCAGGAAATCAATCTCAAAGTCCTGCTGTGTTCAGCTCAAGTCGGATCTTGCTCATTTCTATCACCAGAGATTTTTTTCCCTTAGTATGACTTACAACATACAGGTGCTGGCCAGTAAATTAGAATATCATCAAAAGGTTGAAAATATTTCAGTAATTCCATTCAAAACGTGAAACTTGTACATTATATTCATGCAATGCACACAGACCAATGTATTTCCGATGTTTATTACGTTTAATTTTGATATTTATAGGTGACAACCAATGAAAACATCAAATCTGGTATCTCAGAAAATTAGAATATTCTAAAGGCCAATGAAAAAATGTTTGTTTCTCTAATGTTGGCCAACTGAAAAGAATGAACATGAACAGAATGTGCATGTATAGCACTCAATACTTAGTCGGGGCTCCTTTTGCCTCAATAACTGCAGTAATGCGGCGTGGCATGGACTCGATCAGTCTGTGGCACTGCTCAGGTGTTATGAGAGCCCAGGTTGCTCTGATAGTCGTCTTCAGCTCCTCTGCATTGTTGGGTCTAGCGTATTGCATCCTCCGCTTCACAATACCCCATAGATTTTCTATGGGGTTAAGGTCAGGCGAGTTTGCTGGCCAATCAAGGACAGGGATACCATGGTCCTTGAACCAGGTGCTGGTGGTTTTGGCACTGTGTGCAGGTGCCAAGTCCTGTTGAAAGGTGAAGTCTGCATCCCCATAAAGTTGGTCAGCAGCAGGAAGCATGAAGTGCTCTAAAACTTCCTGGTAGACGGCTGCATTGACCCTGGACCTCAGGAAACAGAGTGGGCCAACACCGGCAGATGACATGGCACCCCACACCATCACTGACGGTGGAAACTTTACACTGGACCTCATGCAACGTGGATTCTGTGCTTCTCCGCTCTTCCTCCAGACTCTGGGTCCTTGATTTCCAAAGGAAATGCAGAACTTGCTTTCATCAGAAAACATAACTTTGGACCACTCAGCATCAGTCCAGTCCTTTTTGTCCTTGGCCCAGGCGAGACGCTTCTTGCGCTGTTTCTTGTTCAAGAGTGGCTTGACACACGGAATGCGACACCTGAATCCCATGTCTTTCATGAGTCTCCTCGTGGTGGTTCTTGAAGCGCTGACTCCAGCTGCAGTCCACTCTTTGTGGATCTCCCCCACATTTTTGAATGGGTTTGTCGTCACAATTCTCTGCAGGGTGCGGTTATCCCTAGAGCTTGTACACTTTTTTCTACCACATTTTTTCCGTCCCTTCGCCTGTCTGTTAATGTGCTTGGACACAGAGCTCTGCGAACAGCCAGCTTCTTTAGCAATCACCTTTTGTGTCTTGCCCTCCTTGTGCAAGGTGTCAATGATTGTCTTTTGGACAGCTGTTAAGTCAGAAGTCTTCCCCATGATTGTGGTGCCTTCAAAACAAGACTGAGGGACCTTTTAAAGGCCTTTGCAGGTGTTTTGAGTAAATCAGCTGATTAGAGTGGCAGCAGGTGTCTTCTATATTCAGCCTTTTCAGAATATTCTAATTTTTTGAGATACCAAATTTGGAGTTTTCATTAGTTGTCACTTATGAATATCAAATTTAAATGTAATGAACATTGGAAATACATTGGTCTGTGTGCATTGCATGAATATAATGTACAAGTTTCACGTTTTGAATGGAATTACTGAAATATTTTCAACCTTTTGATGATATTCTAATTTACTGGCCAGCACCTGTATTTGTTTCTACAAGAGACCACTGCAAATGTATAAAAATATGTGTAAAATACCACTTTAAAAGTTGCCTCTGAGGAACATGAAAGTCTTTTCTGAAACCTAAAAGTGACATCTGAGATTGCGCTTGTCTTGAATTTGGTGGCACCTTCTGAAACGTTTTATCATTTTTCATTTAGTGTAAAATTGGAGGAGGTTTGTAATCCAATTTGTGGTTACCATCCCCTGCGCAGGCAGCATGTGTTATACAGCAGGAGGTGCCACCTGTTATGCTTTAGAAAATCCCTTCTGCAATTATCTTACTCAGCGATGTGGAGGTCTAATTTATATGGGGTTTTAGCTGGTAGCTATTGTGCCAACGAATCACTCTTAAGACCAACTAACGTGTGTTCAGTGTTCTCTTTCCCTGAATGTCTTCTTTTGATTTAAATTGCAATGAAACAATTGGAGAAAAAATCTTCAAACAAATCATTTTTACCAAAAAGGAAAGGGGAAATATAAATTCTGATTCCAAAAAGCAGCAGCATCTTTTCTTGTGTTAACATAACATGAACTGTCTCCCCAGATCCACAACCGTCTGGATCAGAGCTGCTGTGGATTCAGGCCTCGGCGGGAGGATGTGTGCGTTGAAGTGGCCCAGCAGGCTTCCTGTGAGGACCAGGAAAACGTAAAATTAGCAAACATTTTCCATAGGAACCAGGACTCCAGGCACCTGGTGTTCACCAACAACAAGGGATTCTTTGACCGCAATGAGGACAACTTAGACTTCAGGTTGCTCGAGGGTATCCGGGAGTAAGTTAACACCATTAATGTAGAAATACTTGGAGTTTTAGGTATTCCTGTTAGAAAAGAAGCACCTGAACTTTTTTATCTGTGTTTTGTACAAATCACTGATTTTCATACCGACTCACATGGATTGTAATCCCTTTAGTTTCAGTCTATCTATCCACAGTTTAGTGCTGAGGTCTGTTTTTGTTTTTTACATGTACTATAAAAAATGTGTGAGTCATTCATAAATGTTATATTCTATTTTTCGGTTTTCTTGTGCTCAGACGTTTTTCTTAAGGAATTATCCTACCCAGGCATTAATATTGTTAACTTTAAAATGCAAAAAGGCATGTTTCCTGTTTTGTTTTGTTTTTTTGCCTGAAATCAAAACTATCCCACTGTGCAAAGACCTAGTTTGATCGTCCTATAGACGTGGTCTGGACCGACAGACTCAATGCAGACATGATCTGCATGTCTATGTGACATTGACTGTTTGCAGGGATCATTTGCATTTCAGTTGCAGTGATCATACAAAGACATTTAACTTTTTCTTGCTTTTTTTTCTAAACCCTTTTAATTGTCATTTTAATTACATTTTAGCAGAAGAAAATAAGGTCAGTACTGACTGGCAGACTAAACATTTGCTAAAATGAAGCACAAGTGTTGCCTTCTGCTGACATTTTAGTAAAACAAAGCTGTGCTGAGCTACAATTACAGGAGAAGTGCCATGGTTGTGTTAAAAGGTAATCAGGGTCTAGATTTTGTTAATTAAACCGGCAGGAACGTAAAATGTAAAAATGTAGTCTCAATATCTAATGATTAATATTTCTACTTCCATTAGTGTTATGTGAAATCTGCACAGCCTCTGACTGGAGGGGAACATACTGTTCTTAAAAAAATGGAAGAAGCTCAGATAAAAAAATAGTAATCATAATTTTCTTTTTACCTTGTCAGCAAGCAGATGTGGGGAATTGAGAATACTTTTTAAATTAAAATTTACTTTTAAGTTTTATTGTAATAGTGCAGGAGGCAGATTAGCTCTCTGTTATTTTTGTTTTCTTTGCTTTAAAAATCAGTGATAACAGCTCATTTAACATAATTTGATCATTGTAAAACTGCATACTGACTCCACAGAAATGATTTGAAATGTTTTGTTAAAGAGTGATTCTGTTGGAACGTTATGACTTTAGCCACCTCTTTCACAATGACTCCACTCAAAACAATTTAAACAGTTTTTGACTTTTGTTTTTTTTTTCATTTTCAGGTTTCCAGAGAAGGCTGTGACAGTGCTGAAGAGCAGGAAGCTAAGGGAGAAGCTTCTCCAGTCCCTGTTTCTGGACCAGATGTACTGGGAAAGTCAGGGTGGCCGGCAGGGCATCGACAAGCTAATTGATGTTATCGAAAGGCGAGCCAAGGTCCTCCTTACCTACATCATGGCTCATGGGATAAAAGTCATCACAATGAATGACTGATGGAACTTACTCACACTGACATAGTGCTTCTGTTATTGTTTTACAGCAGTGCCATTTCAAAGAGTCCTAAAACTGACGCATATGTTTATTTATTTCAACTTAAACAGTGAAACTAATATATGAGATATAATACATGCATACTAATTACAGGTGAAACTTCAAAAATGAGAATCTGGTGCAAAAGTTCACCGTTTTCAGTAATTCAATGAGACAGACTCATTCTATGCAGAGCCAGATCCTTCAAGATTTTATTTGTAATAATTGTGATGATTATGACTTACCCCACATTCAAAATCTCAGACCAGTAGAGTAATGTGAAATGGTTCAATATTCTAGACTCAAAGTGCCACACTTTAATCAGCTAAAAACACCTGCAAGGGGTTCCTGAGCCTTTAGATGGTCTCTCAAGCTAAGATGATTTACTGAAATAAATTAACCTTTGCACCATGTTCTCGTGTTTAGAATTTCACCTGTAAATTAATCTCTGACATTAACAGCTTAAAATATTCTTGCACTAAACTAATCTCTATCATTTCTAAGCTAACAGTGTCAGAAATGCATTAGGAATGCCTTGTCTCAGTATTTTTTCTTTAATTTCTCTACTTTTTTCCTCTTTCACTTGTCCACTAAGATGTCTCCATAATGTAAAGAATGCTGTAATTTCAGCTTTTGGTCCAGCTCTTCAGCAGGTGCATTTAAAATTAATATAAATAGAAGGCTTCGGATCTCGACTCATTTGATTCTTTGCCCTGAGGGTGCAGTATTTCATTTTAGAGTAATAATAAACTTTTTGTGTAAATTTATCAACCAGACCCTGAATCCATTTGGGGTAACTGAACAATCAACTGCACAGAGACATGCTAGACCAGGTTCACACAGCAAGATAATGCCAAGGATCCCAGCTTAATGATGTCAGATCTGTTAACTATAAAATGCCATAAAATCTTACAAACAGGTGAACAGCCAGGCTGCATGTTGGCACAAATGTTATACTGTTGCCTTGTAGGGAGAAGGTCGCAGGTTTGAATCCTGGCAATGGTCTTTCTGCACAAAGTTAGCATTTTCTCTAATGCTTGTGTGGGGTTCCTCTGAGCTCCTCAATTTCCTCCCACATAGAAAATAACCTGCATTTCAGGCTAGTGGATACCCTAAGTAACCCCTTGGTGTGAGTGTGTTTGTGGCTGGTTGTTTATGTGTGGCCCTGTGACTGGAGACCTGTACAATGTTTACCCCCGTTAATCATTTTGTATTCTATTTTTAAAACTACAAAAAATGTCTATGAGTTCATTTATTTACTGTGTTTATAAATCATTTAACTGTATATTTTAAATTTCCAATGTCAAATAAAGCGATTTTCAACTGGTAGAGTGATGTTTATTTTTCTTTATATGACAAAGTCACCCTAAAATACCAGTAAATGACTGTAAATGACATTATGTAAAAATCATGACGAGAATTGGAATTCCTCATGGCTCAAACATTTGAGCCAGAACACCGTGTGCCTTTCGTGCTGCTGTAAACATTATGGATGCCTTTAAAATGGAGCTGAACGGGCTTTGATGATTTTTTCTCCTGTCCGTGCTGCGCTTCGACTGCCTTGTTGTTTTAACTCCCATGCACCCACATTAGACTCTCAGAGGCTTTCATGCCTGTGTGTGTTTGTATTAGAAAACTCCCTCCAGCACTCAGTATGATCTGCAGCAGAACTCTTCACACATTTATGTTTGCATGCGCTCTCACAAAAACATACACATACAAAAGATGACCTACATGTGTGAAACAATCGGATCGCACAGGGAGAATATGGAGGCAGCTGAGGAGCTGGCCCTCTCTGCCTGTTAACTCACTCCCACTCAGAGAAATTAGATCTGTTTGTGTAAAGCTCTGGGGGTCAAGTTGTGCAATCTTAACATCACATGTGAGGCAGAAACAGACTCATGGTGAAAAAAAATCTGCTAATTCTCAGTCCAGACAAAGATGTTGATGCAAATTCTCATTTGGGCCATGGTAATCCTTGGTGCTCGAATAGGAAGCAGCTGGGGCTCATTTCTTGTTTCTGCTTTCCGGTTGTTTTGAAGATGCTCCGTCTTTTATCTGAACTGAAAAGGCCTCAAAAAACAAATTTATTTGGCTTCAGTTCCAGCACAAAAATATTATTTGTGTTTATACAGGAAAGTTGCTTCTATTGGAAAGATATCTGAATAAATTGTACACTTTTACAACCTAGAGCACATCATTTTATTATGAACATCACAATTTGGCAAAATGCAGGCACTCTGATCCTTACTAGTAAAAATAATTAAAAAAAAGAAACAAACTGACTAAACAACTTAAGTTAGCCTTTTGTACATCTTTGAAATAAAATCGATTAGAGAAAATTGACTTTCTGTGGTAATTTAAAAAAAATTGTGCTTATTAAAATATTTATTTCAAGCACTGTGTCTTTGAAATGATAACAGCCTTTGTCTGTTACTTGTACTTTATTTCTTCGTTTCTGCTAACTTCTTTTCTATTTAATGAATATACAAAAGCTAAATTAGTGCAGTGAATAAAAGCAGTTGGGCTAATTTGTCTTGTGAACATCTGATGGTTTGCTTGTCAGAAATAATATTAAATGCTAAATTTATGCAAAATGAATTAGTTTTTTGCATCAACTTGGGTAATATTTGCATATAATAAACAGCTTTTATTGTTTTCCCCCTAAGAAACTAAGACCCAGCAAGTACATTATTGGATAATTTGACTGATTAACAAAATATAAACTACAAGAACAGCTTCAGTGACACTTTGTGTTTAAAGAGATTCACCAAAAACCATCACAATTAAAACAATAATGTAATCTTAGAATAACCTAAATGTTACAAAATACCTTTCAGCCCATATAAATGTTTAACCTAGATCACAACACTTCCTTTCAGAGTAAATTATAACAAACATTTAAAAACACATTGGAAATAATTTTTCTCCCTGTGGAATCATTTAACTACAACCAGCCAAAACAAATGTCTTCAATGTTGATTTGAATTCTGCTGAAAGAGGCTGCACTTACACTGATACAGATTTAAGATGAAGCGTTGAAGAAAACATGTCAACATGTTGTCAGATAGCATCATGCCAATGCTTGTTTTATTCAGAGAAAAGCTAAAGCCATTTGGAGATTTTTTGAAGAACAAAAACAAAAGCCTGGTTCTGCTGTAGAGATCTGGAAAAATGCCACAATGCTCTCATCTTATATCCTTTTATTTAAAAAAGTAGCATTACAAGTTTTATTTTCTAAAACAACATTCATCTACTTTATGTGTTATTTCTTCTACATTTTTAAAGCTGTAACTCTTTTAAACATTGTTTTACTATATTAAAACTAGTATGGGGTATGCATGGTGAAGACCTGCATCAAGTAAAAAAGACAGCAGACGTTCAGTAGAAATGAAAGCAGCATTTCAAACAGAAACCTAATGAAGCAGATGGCCGTCCGTCAGTGAAGAATGAAAGCAAATGAAATAATATAGCCGGAAGGAGTGTGTGAGCATTTGTTGTCACTAATCTTTGGTTTAGTGGAAAGCATATGACCCGGGCAGCCCTAAAGTCCCTCAGATGGTGTTAAGAGAACTTTTATTATCAAAGAACTTTAAAACTTCAATTCATGTCACATGGAATCAAGTTTATGTGAAGAGGTGAAGGTGAAACGCTTCAGGCTCATCTGTGATGGAGTCCAAGAAGGAGTGGGACGTGCGTGGCATCCCTCCATGCAACGAGCTGCATCGCTGATACGATCTGAGATAAAATTACACAGACTATAGTGGAGCTGTCAGCTGCAGGATGAAAAAGGGAAAGAATTACCATGGTATGCAGATTCACGCTTTATGTCTCCTGCTATCCTGCAATCTATGATTCAGAGGAAGTGGCACAACATCCTTCCTGGTTTCCAATTCAGTGTGTTGCTAAAAGAAGGTATTAGCTTAAAACCAAGTTCATGTGAAGTTTAGTCCTCCACCACAGCTCAGCTGATATTATTATACAGTTAAAGAGCGAATGTTAAATGTGTTTAAAGTTGTTTTCTTTTAATTCAACTCCAGTTAAAGAGCTGTGGGGGCAGTGGCGGCTGGCCAGTAGAGGGCGATAGGGCGCCGCCCTCCCAGTTTCCCCTGTGTTTTTAATTTTTATTTTAAAAAATAAATAAATAAAATTAACAATAATCACATATTCTAAGTTAATTGTGTGTTTTGTAACAAAAAATAAATCATATATATATATATATATATATATATATATATATATATATATATTGGTCTCTGCCGGTCTCTGCCGATCTCTGCCGATCTCTGCCGGTCTCTGCCGAGCGGTGGAGGCTGTGTGCTGTTTTTCAATCGCCCAAACAGGACGGGACCAGTTGTCCAATTGCTGACAAGAAAATCAAAGGGTAGGAATGGGAATGTATCCAATCAGCATCGACGTTGTTTCAGAACGTTTCAGAAGCATGATGGGCGATAGAGCTACCGCCAAGGCTTTCGTTGGTGTTCGGTAGAACTCGGAGAGTCTCGACCCCAGCACGTTTTTGGTCGTGACTCGTGACGGTCATGACGCAGACGTAGACATGGACGCCAGTGCGCCTACAACATGGATACCAGATCTCAGCAGCCACTGAATTCAGTTTGGTCTCTTCTCCAGTATCCGTTCGAGACGAGAACTATGGTGGAAAAACTTAATGTCAAAGAGCTTGGACCAGATCAGCCCGACGTAAAGATACGCCAGCAGGAGAAGGAGAGAGGTAATCTGTACACACAACGCTTCTCCCAAAATTGGTACACCAGGAAGCAGTGGCTAGCTGGATGCAATCACGCTAATGCGTTATTTTGCTTTCTGTGTTTGTTATTCAAAATGGCTGGGATCCACAGAAGGTGGATGTGGAACTTGTGTCTCATTGGGGACTGCATTCATTCTCTGACTGAGGGATGCAGCGCATCAGTGCAGCAGCCAACAAAGAAACGGAGGACGTTTGGACAGGGAGAACAGCAGCTGGGTGCAGAGGTAAGCTGTACATTACATTTCTGTAAACAAGACAATCAGAATCAGAAATCCTTGGTTGTCCCACAAACCGGGACATTTGTTTAATAACATGTACATTGTTTAATGTGCAATAACCGTAAAAACTAATTTCAACACACATACCTATCATACATATTTAATCTTGTAAATGTGTATTTCAAGTAAATTTGTACATACATCAATCTGATTCCATTTTACTTGGTACACTTCTGCTGCAGCAAACAAATTTCCCAGCTTGGGAAGTGGGAAATATGACATTTGTAAGAGGATACTGATGACATTATTTCCTATGAAAGTGTTTCCACTTTCCATAAGTCCTAACAGTGTAAATTTCTGGCATTTTGTCTAAGTAGTGTTTACTACCATTACTGTAACAGTGACCTGCTCGTAATTTTTGGTGTTCACTCAAATGTTGAAATTATACAAAATGTTTTTGTTACTTGCCTCTTGCATTGCCTATTTACCATTTATGGTCATGTTATTTTATGTGCAATTTAATGCAGTATTTTTCAACCTTGGTCCGCAAGGCAGCGTGCCAATAGTCAGATACACCTGGATTAATCAGTTTGTCCAATGATGTAAGACAGGAAATAAAAGAGCTGTGCTTAATTCAGGAAATAGTGAAGTTGTGCACAAAGCTCAGAAAGCACAAGTTTGTTTAAAAAAAAAATAGCACAGCCCCACCAAAAATATTTTTCACCAGCCGCCACTGTGTGGGGGATAATTTGGCTAACAATAGGAGTTAACAAAAATAAGCAACCTGTTTTAGTGTTTAGTTTCTGTTCTTTGAGGGGTTTACCCAAAAGTACACAAACATGCAAAGAAGGTTTGAAAATTTAACATAACATCTGACGTAAGATGGATCTGTAATTTCCCACTTAATTCAGGTTTTAGCCTGAAATTATTTATTCATGTTTACTCACATTGTAATACATTTGCAGTGGTCTCTAATAGGAATGAATGCCTTGTAAGTTGTTCTCTGAGAAAAAAACAGCTCTGGTGCACCAGTTTGTGGATGTAGAAGTCAGCTGGAATCAGCTGAATTCAGCCTGGGAAGAAAGTGGTAAAATACAACAAGATTTTGAGTCCTATTTCCTGATATTGAAACGTCTCACCTCTGATTGGCTAAAGCCGGGTGTACACTGTGCGATCTTTGGACCGTTTTGAGCCGATTTTCCTCTTGTGCGAGAATCTTTGAGGATGAGTTTTGCGTTGTGTAGTTTACAAGGGGCAATGAGAAGTGACCTCGGGACCAACTCCCATCAGCAATCGTGCAGTTGCACGATTATTAAATGTGTTTGATATTTTGCTTGTTCC